TGCTGGCAGCGGGTCACAGCGCCACCCGTGTGGCCAGAGAGGGGTTGGGGACACTTGAGGACCCCAGATCTCACCTGATCTGGCCCCTTCCTGCCCCGGGTCAGCGCTGCCGGGCAGAAGCTCCTGGTGGTACTTCTGCTGCTTGGCTCGGATCCGCTCCATCCTGGAGGCAGAGGATGCTGCAGAGCCTGCTCCCCGTGCACAGGGGTGCCCCAAGGTGCAGGGACAGGGGTCCCAGTGTCCCCCCAAACCCACTCACTGCCGCTTCAGCTGGTCCAGCGACTTCTTCTCGGCTAGCCGGTGCGAGTGCAGGCTCTTCAGGATGCTGGCCTTGAACAGCGCCACACCCCTGGGGGACAGGGGAGGGTCAGGGGGACCCCCAGCTCCAAAGGGACCCTCCAGGGCCCCAATCCCACCTGGAAGCCTGCAGGGCAGAGGCTTGGAGGTTCCACATGACGTGCAAGTAGTAGGAGCTGAGGAAGATGCGGCGCTGGAGCAGGAGGAAGAAGAAGCAGATGCTGTCCCAGATGATGCCGGCCTCCTCCACGGGCAGCGTGCAGTCTCGGTCCTTGGGCATCGCCTTGGCTGGCAGGCAGAGGTGCAGGCGGGTCAAGCAGCAGCCCAAATCTGCAGCCCCAAGCCCCCAGATCACCCCCAGAGCAGCAACTCACGGTTGTAGTAGCCCTTGACGGTGCAGACGAGGCTGAAGAGCTGGATCACCCAGCAGAAGTGGCTCTGCATCTGCTGCACGAAGACGCAGGACAGGAGCTGCGGGCAGAGAGGGCACACACGGCCTCGTCACCACCCCAGGGGACACCTAGGGCGGCCGGAGGAGAAGCACGTGGATCACAGCGCACCGACAGCATGTTTTTGGAGATGATGACGGTGATGTTGTAGAGGATGAGGCAGTCCCAGAGCACGAGGCGGGCGCGGGCCGGCTTGCGCAGCATGGCGGTGCCCGAGAGCAGCAGGTAGAAGCAGGCCAGCACGTAGCCCAGGCCGAACAGGCTGATGCGGTTGGCACCGGTGATGAAAACCACCACGAGGACGACCCAGAAGAGGTAGTGGAACACCACCACCTTCACCATGTCCAGGTAGGACCTGTGGATGGGGCAGTCAGAGCAGGGGCTTTGTCCCTTCCCAGCATGGTCAGTCCCCCCAGCAGCCCTATCATGGGGGACAAAGGGCTTTGTCCCGGTTTATGGCACTGAGGGTCCAGCACCATCACCAGGAGTGTCCTGGACCACCTCATCTCCTCCCAGAAGAGCCTCAGGGTGTTCCTGCTCCAGCCATCAGGGGGGTCATGTCCAAAGGGGCTCCAATCCCATTCTAGAGGATCCCAGCCCAGCAGGTCCCACTGCCTTCTGAAGGTCCCATCCTATCCATACCTCAAGGGCTCCCATCCCAGGGGATTCGCCATCCAAGGGTGGGATCTCATCTTTCCCCCACCCCAAAAGGTTCCATCCCAGGGCCCACCTTGTCCACACCCCAAAGTTTGACATCCCGAGGTTGGAATTCCAAGGGTGAGATTCCATCCTGTCCATCCCCCCAGGGATCCCATCCCAGAGGAGAGAGATTCACTGCCCACAGGAGATCCCATTCCCGTGGCCCCGGGTCGGGGTGCTGTGCCAGGGGCACCCACTTGCAGTAGATGAAGTTTGGGGTGGGGTTGTAGTAGTCCTGCTCCCGGTCCAGCCGGTCTGAGTTGTCCCCGGCCGCCTGCAGCCACGGCTCGGAGCGCTCGGCCTTGAAGACGCGCCACTGCTGGGCCGCGCAGAGCAGCAGCATGAAGTCATCTGAGGGAACACGGCTCAGCCCGGGCCACAGCGCTCCCCAAAACCCTGGTACCCCTCCAAACCCTTCCCCAAGGCCTTGGGGCACCCCAGGCCACTCCTGCCCAGGGTGGGGAGCTCATTAATTCCCTCCAGGCCTTTGCCAGGTCCCACCTCCTCTTTAACTAATTGTGCCTCTCTCCAGGCCCCTCCTTTTCCCAAAAGAGGGTGAGAAATAAATCAAGTTCCCCCACAAAGGGGTGGGGTTGCCATGACTCCTTCTCCAACGGGATGAGTATGATTTAAAATCTGCCTCCAAAGGAGTGGGGCTCTTAAAGCTCCTCCACCCCTCCTTCCCCCTCCTGGAGGCAGGATGGGACCTGGGGAGGGACAGGGGCTGGAGCAGGGTGACAGAGCACCCTGTGGCACAGAGGTGCCAGGGGCTGGAACAAGGGGGCCAGGGGGCTGTGTCACCCCATGAGCAGGGGACAGGGCACCACTCAGGCAGGGGGCTACTCACTGATGAGGTTGGTGGACTTGGGAGCCTGGAAGAAGTCGGGCAGGTAGAGCCACTTGATGAGTGCCGAGTTGAGGGGAATGGTGTCGCTCCAGCGCCACGGATAGTCTGGGGGGGCAGGGGGCACAGTCAGTGCCAGGCCCCTCCTCCAGCCCCTTCCCAGGGCAGGTAAACGGTGCCCCACAGGAAAGCGGGGTGCCCCCCGTGCCCCTTACCCATGCAGAGGGCAGGCGGCATGCCCAGGCACAGCAGGTACTGGTAGAGGAAGAAGATGACGAGGAAGAGGCAGTACTTGGGCCAGAGGCGGGCGATGGCCGCGCGCCGCCGCCGCGTCAGCATCACCACGAGCCAGCAGCCGTGCAGGATCACCACGAAGTTCATCCGCTGCCCGATCACGTTCACCATCATCAGGAAGCAGATCTGGGGGAGCAGGGGGGGTGCAGGGCTCAGCACCGGGGTGCTGCGAGCGCTGGGACCTCCCCCCCCCCCACACACACACAACGCTCCCACCTCCAAGCCAAACTTGTAGTAGAAGTAGTTGATGAAGTATTTGGCGCAGCTGACGAGGCCAAGGTCGAGCTGCTGGCGGGAGATGTCCTCAAAGATGGTCTCGGTGACGGGGGCCACCAGCTGGTGCTGCTTGCGGTGGTACTGCTGGCGCCGGTACACCACCGACTCGAACACCAGCAGCAGCAGCACCTGCACGTGGTTCTGGGGCAACAGGGCACACTCAGCACCTCAGGGCGAAGCCAAGAACCCCCCACGCGGTCCTCACAAAGAGCATCTCCCCGGGCTCTCCGAAGAGACGCTCAGGACCGCGCTGTGAAGCCAAGAATCCCCCCCAGGTGGTCCCCACAGCACCCCCGTGCCCACCCTGACGTAGGGCCAGTTGGGGAAGCCCTTCCGGATGCCGAACCAGTTGGCAGGGTCCACGGGGCCGCGGTACAGCGTGGAGTTGGCCAGCTCCTCTGGGGTCAGGTTGGTGCCGTTGGGTAGGGGCTGCGAAGGGGAGCACCAGGAGAGGGTCAGTGCCCCCAGAGCCCCCCTCCAGGCAGGGAGCCCCCCCCAAGAACCGGCCCCGCTGGGCACACCTGGGTGCAGTTGCTGTAGTACTCGTGGGGCTCCACCACCTCGAGCTGGTAGAGCATCTTGCAGACGATGATGATGCAGGTCCAGATGGTGGAGAGGCACGAGGCCATGTGGCGGAAGCGGCAGTAGGGCATGGCCAAGGCCCACAGCAGCACCAGCAAGAAGTTCATCAGCGAGACCTGGGGCAAAGGCAGTGTCAGCACCTCGGGGGGGGCCCGGCTGAGCCCCCCAACCCTGCAGCCCCAGGGGTACCTCCTCCAGGGCCACCCAGACCGTGTAGAGAGCCACCATCTTGACGACGTGGAGCTCCAGCAGGCGCCTCACGAAGACCTCCCCGCGCGTCACCGTGTCCGAGAAGGTCCGGCCCAGCACCACCAGGCGCTCCAGCACCAGCCCCCATTTGTTGGGCCCTGTGGGACACAGACCCTCGTGGACACCCCCACAGCCTCCTTGGCTCTGAGGGCACCCCAACCCATCCCCTGCATCCTCCCTTGCTCAGAAAACACCCCAATCCATTCCACACCTGGAGAACCCAATCCATCCCTGCAGCCTCCAGCCTCCTCCTGGCTCAGAGGGCATCCCAACCCATCCCTGTATCCTTCCAGGCTTGGAGAAGACCCCACTAAACCCCTGCACTACGCTGGTCCCACCCCGGTTTTCAGGACACCTCAACCCACCCCATTCCTGGCTCGGAGGACATCCCACTCCATCCCCATGCCCTCCCAGACTTGAAGGACACCCCAATCCATACCTGAAATATCCCAAAAATCCATACCAATCACACCATGAAAATCTCTTCCAGGCTTGGAGGATACCCCAATCCATCTCCATACCCTTGGATATCACCCCAAATCCATCTCCCTACCCTCCCAGGTCCCTCCTGGCTTGGAGGACACCCCATCCCAGCCCGGCTCCCATCCCTGCCCCGTACCCAGGGACTCGGTGTCGGAGTCTCCGGAGCGAGCGGTCTCGGCAGCGGCCGCGTCCCGCAGCAGGCGGCTCCCGTGCAGCTCCTCAGACCTGAGGGAAGGGGGGCTCAGAGCAGGGACAGCGGGCTCAGGGTGCAGGGGGCTCACCCAGCACCGGCTCCTACCTGGGGATGTGGCAGGGGGCCGGGGAGGGGGCGCGGATGCGTGCCAGGTCGGTGATGAGCATGAAGGGCTCGTGGAAGTAGTGGAGCTGGAGGATGCAGGCCAGCAGGAAGAAACCCGTGATGAGGATGCTGGAGAAGAGCTTGGAGACGCTGAACTTGTCCAGGCCCAGGTCGCTCAGCCTGGATGGGGAGAGGAGGGTCAGCACGGGCTCTCATCCATCCTGCCCCAAACCCAGCACCAGCGCCAGGGGCTCAACCCCAACCTGCTCCGTGCCTCAGTTTCCCCATGTGAAACCCAGCCCTGGGCCATGCCCTGGTGCCACCAAAGGGCTGGTGCCAGCAGGGACCCCACAGTGGGAAGGGGACACTCACTGGTCATCAGTGAGGCCCGTCAGGTTCCTCCAGTACATGGGGAAGTCCTCGAACTGGTAGGTGTAGGTGGCGATGAGCACCAGCATGGTGTAGGCCACCACCAGCCACCAAAAACCCTTGAGCACCTTGCGCCACAGGCTGTAGTACACCTGCGGGGACAGGGACATCAGCAGGGCCGCCCTGGGGATGGCACAGGTCCCCAGGGCTCCCCAGCCCCTCCACCTGGAACAGGATGAGGCAGAGGAGGAAGAGGAGCATGTAGACAATCTTGTAGACGACGAGGCGGCCGGTAAAGGTCACCACGATGAACTTGACAGCGCAGACGCAGATCCAGAACTTGGCAAAGAAATTCTTCACCACCTCCCCCAGCTTCTGCAGCACATCCCGCATCTGGCTGGTGTCTGTGGGGCACGGAGGGGCTGCAGCAGCCGGGCAGGGGCTCCGGGGTGCCCCTCCACAGCTGTGGGGCGCTCAGCGTGCTGACACCGGGAGCCCTCACCTGTGTCCGTGACAGACACCTCCAGGAGCGGCGTGGCCGGGGACCTCCTCGTTAGCACCTTCTCCATAACGAAGCGCCTCAGCAGCATCCAGAAGGTGAGGGTGAACAGGAGCTGTGGGACAGGCGGTGAGCGGGGACGGCCGGGCGCTGGCGGGGACAGGGGTGGGACAAGGCCACACTCACCTTGGAGCCCAGGGCCATGCAGGGGTACTGGGGGTGTGCCAGCCCCAGCAGCTGCAGCTGCATGAAGCTGATGCGGGTGGGCAGCTCGGAGGACAGCTCCATGGCCCAGACGTACTGCAGGCTGCACAGGGTGATGGCGTAGAGCACCAGGAAGGGCGAGCAGAGCATGGCGAAGTGCCGGCGGCTCCGCACTATCCAGATCAGGCACGCCCACAGCAGCAGCACGAAGGTCAGCCAGCTGTGGTAGGAGATGCTCCACACCTGTGGGCAGGGAGGATGGTTGGGGTTGTCCTCTCCACATCTGGGTCCCCTCCCCGTGGCCCCTGCCAGCTCTTTACCATCATGGCAATGAGGGCAGTCACATAGCTCTGCTTCATCAGGACGTGGCCCAGGGTGTGCAGGGGCAGCCACGCCGCAGGACGCCTCCTGCCTGGCGTGGGGAGAGACAGCGTGAGAGGCAGGGTTTGGGGAGGGGGAGCACCAGGCACC